GTTACGCGCAAGTGGTCGCCAGGCCGCCCCAAGTCGTTCAAGCACCCGCCCCTCTGACCTACGCTGAAGCTGCTGCACAACCTCCGTCCTTTGCAGAGGGTATGCCCGCTACGTATGTTGACGTAACCCCTCAGCCTCAGCTTTAGTCCACCATGCAGCCACCGTTCCGTCCATCGGCCCTTACGACATGGGTGAGACCTACCCCGGTGAACAGATGGCGCACACCCGACAACCGACCCATCTGCTTTGCCTGTGGTTACACCGGTCGCGTAGCCCGTTATTGCCATCGCGTACAGCCGGCTCCGATTTCTTCACCTGTTGCTGGCCAACTCAGCCGACCTTATCACGAAGAACTGCCGTCTATGTCACCTCGTTCTCGCCCAGGTCCATCTCGAAGATCGCCGTCTCCACGACGTCGTTCCCTGTCCCCCATGCGGCCAAGTGCGGTTGCTCATGAGCGGCAAAACTAGTCGTTGCAGTCCCCGAGGCAAGGACTGCGACGCTATCGCAATGTGAAAGCCCTCAGAGCAGCCCCTCAAATGTCATTGACGTGCTTGTGGATGGTGTTTGTGCATCGGCTCTTATTGACACTGGAGCTGCCGTATCAGTTATGGACGAAAAACTCTGCCGCTTACTTCGAAAAGTAACGACGCCACTTTCTGGGTTATCCCTCCGTACTGCAAGTTTGCACCGCATTCATCCTACAGCAGGATGCACAGCTCGCGTTGTCATCCAGGACGTTCTGTATGTCGCCCAGTTCATCATCATTCAGGCATGCTCTCATGACGTCATCCTGGGATGAGACTTTCTCTCCCGCCATGACGCCGTCATCCATTGTGCCGCTGCCGAAATTGAGCTCTCACCCTTCTCGCATTTGACGCCAGAAGACAGTCCCCCGACGCTGACTAAGATTCTAACGAAAGACGATACAACAATGCCTCCAAACTTGACGACGGCTGTATCTGTCTACTGCGCTGGTCTCTCCGACACCATTTGACTTGTTTCGCCATCTGACCGCACTTGCAGCAGGAAAGGGTTGCTAGTACCTTTCGCGACCGTGCAGGTCAACCAGGGCAACACTGCTATTTTTGTAACCAACCCGTCCCCGTACGCTGTTACCTTGCTTCGAGGGGAATGTCTCGGCAGAGTAGAACCAGTCGACGACGCACAAGTCCTGGATGTACCCGATGACACGCGTGGTTTCAGGTCGTGTACCATCATCTGTTTCCACTTCTGATTCGTCATCTGCTTATGTATTTGGCCCCTCCATCGCTGACAACCTTACGGCCGTACAGCGTTCCAAACTTCTGGACCTGTTGCAAGAATATCGTTCTTCTTTCGATGTCGGGCGAAGTTCTCTCGGTCGCACGTCCGTTGTTACGCATCACATCGACACTGGTGCCCATCCACCTTTACGGCAACGTCCATATCGCGTGTCGCCTGCTGAACGTCGAGTAATTAATGACCAGTTTGACGATATGCTCCGTCGCGACGTTATTCGGCCCTCAGACAGTCCATGGGCGTCTCCTGTTGTTCTTGTTGCGAAGGAAGATGGTTCTGTGCGGTCCTGTGTAGACTACAGACTGCTCAATAAGATCACTCGCAAGGATGTTTATCCACTGCCACGCATCGATGACGCGATTGACAGCCTTCATGGAGCCGATTTTTTTTCTTCTCTCGATCTGCGCTCGGGGTACTGGCAAGTAATAATTGATTGATATGTGGGGTTTAACATCCCAAAACCACCATATGATTATGAGAGACGCCGTAGTGGAGGGCTCTGGAAATTTCGACCACCTGGGGTTCTTTAACGTGCACCCAAATCTGAGCACACGGGTCACTACTGGCAAGTACCCATGGCTGACGACGCTCGACCAAAGACCGCCTTCGTCACGCCAGACGGCTTGTACGAGTTCAACGTCATGCCGTTTGGTCTATGTAATGCACCTGCGACCTTTGAGCGCATGATGGACACCGTTTTGCGCAACTTGAAATGGTACACGTGCTTGTGTAACCTCGACGATGTCATTGTCTTTGCTCCGGATTTCTCCACGCATCTCCAACGTCTGAAAGAAGTTTTCGCACGTGTGAGCAATGCCGGCATGCAACTAAATCTGAAAAAGTGCCGCTTTGCAGCACGGCAACTCACCATACTGGGATACGTCGTGTCCAAAGACGGCATTCTTCCTGATCCTGCCAAGCTTCAGGCCGTGGCCGAATTCCCCAAACCTGCATCTCTCAAAGAACTGCGTAGTTTCGTGGGCCTGTGCTCATACTTCCGACGCTTCATACGAAATTTAGCCACGATCATATCACCGCTGACGAAGCTCCTTAGAAGCAACGGGCCCTTCAATTCGTGGTCATCCGAGTGCGACGACGCGTTCGCGAAGCTCCGCCATTTGCTGACGTCGCCTCCCATTCTACGCCACTACGACCCTACAGCCCCAACGGAGGTGCACACGGATGCCAGCGGTGTAGGCATCGGCGCTGTGCTGGCGCAGCGAAAACCCGGATTCCCTGAATATGTCGTAGCATATGCAAGCCGTACGCTCACGAGAGCCGAGAAAAACTACACCGTCACGGAGAAAGAGTACCTGGCGATCGTCTGGGCTCTTAGAAAGTTTCGACCTTATTTGTATGGTCGCCCATTCGATGTCGTCACCGACCATCATGCACTATGCTGGCTTTCATCATTGAAGGATCCCTCAGGCCGTCTCGCCCGTTGGGCTCTTCGCTTACAAGACTACGACATCCGCGTGCTGTACCGCAACGGACGCCAGCATGCTGACGCTGACGCCCTCTCGCGCTCCCCTCTGCCTGAAGGTGATGTGCTCTGCTCAGTATCCTCGGCTGCTGTTTCTGCCATTGATGTTGACATCATCGCTACCGAACAGCGAAAGGATAATTGGATCGGCCCGCTCATCAACATGCTCTCTGATCCATCCGCAACGCAATCCACGCGTGCCTTGCGTCGTCAAGCTCGCCATTTCGCCATTCGTGACAGCCTCCTACACCGACACAATTACGACGCCGACGGCCGGCAGTGGTTACTCGTGATACCCCGCAGTCTGCGGTCAGAGATATGTGAATCCTTCCATTCTGATCCGCAATGCGCGCACTCTGGGGTATTCAAAACCTACCATCGCATTCGACAACGCTACTTCTGGCGCGGGATGTACCGCTATGTGCAGCAGTTCGTTCGCTCTTGCCTCAATTGCCAACGCCGTAAACCGTCAGCCCACATGTCGCACGCTGGTCTGCAACCGTTACCTTGCCCTGACAGTCCCTTTGGGCGCGTAGGTATCGATTTGTATGGACCACTTCCTCTGACGTTGGCTAGTAACCACTTGGCCAGCGTTGCCGTTGACCATTTAACGCGATACGCCGAAACCGCCGCTCTCCCTGCGGCTATTGCGCGCGATGTTGCGTCCTTCCTGCTGCATCGATTTATACGGCACCACGGACCACCCCAAGAGCTTCTCAGCGATCGAGGCCGTGTCTTCTTGTCGGAAGTCGTCGAAGCCATTCTTACGGAGTGCCATTCTGTCCACCGCAAAACTACTGCTTACCACCCACAGACGAATGGCCTCACCGAACGATTTAACCGCACCCTCGGCGACATGCTTTCTATGTACGTCGCTGCCAACCACACTAATTGGGATAATATACTGGCCTTCGTCACCTACGCCTACAACACCGCCCCTCAGAGCACGACTGATTTTTCACCTTTCTACTTGCTGTACGGAAGGCATCCGTCGCACACCATGGACACGATACTCCCGTACACGCCGGATCCATCTGAGTGTACACCTATTTCCGAGACATCCAGGCTTGCTGAAGAGTGTCGCGAGCTTGCCAAGACTTTTGCGACGCAAAAGCAAGAGCGGCAGAAGAGTATTCGTGATGGCTCCACCACTTCTGAGCCCACGTTCCTTCCTGGTGCGCTTGTATGGCTCTCGATCCCGACCTCTGCAGCTGGCCTCTCTTCCAAACTACGTCCCAAATACGAAGGCCCCTACCGTGTCATCGAGCGCACCTCACCCGTCAACTATCTGATCGAACCCGTTGAACAATCTTCGGACATGCGCCGCCGTGGGCGAGACATCGTCAACGTGGAGCGCCTGAAGGCTTAATATGACCCGCTCATAGTAACAAGCTGTTAGGTCGCCAGGCGGCTCCCTCTTCGACCCCGGGGTAATTGTAGCGAAGCCTCCGAACTCTGAAATGGGTCGAACTCTTAGTACCTTCTAGTAGGGCTACCCAACAGGGACGCCGCTCGCGCTGAGAGCTCGTGCTTGGCTGTGACTGTCGCCATTGTATATTGTCGCTCGTTGCCGACTAATAAACGCCTTAACAAAGCCAATGTTTTGTGACTTTAAAAACAGGATATTCAAAGCTTTTCGGATCTAAGAAAAATGGCGATTTGGGCTAGTTGGTTTGAATTTATGATAATAAGGGTTGCAGCGCGAGCACGAATGTGCTAGAAGAAACAGGAGAAAGTCGAGGCACGAAAGGCAAAGAGGACAACACGAGCGCTTCAATTCACATCATGTGGCCTGGGGTTTTAAAACAGATTTAAGCGGAAAACGATTGTGGGAATGGGCTATTGACAAGAACTTATCTTGTTTAAATTCGCAATCTGCTACTTTTGTCCGAGGTCTCTCTAAATCTGTAATTGACTTGACATTTTCAAGCTCATCTCTAAATATATGTTCGTGGCAAACTTTAGACTGTGCTACTAACAGTGACCACTTGCCTATTAGTTTTGTACTGAACTTTCCAAGAATACATGTCGCCGAAAAGGCCCGCTCATTCCTCAACTATAGAAAATTAGAAAAAGACTTGAGGGCTACTTTTGATCACCGCAAGGACATACAAGGTGACATTAGGGCTATGAGTCTGTGTGCAGTGTTAAAAAGATCAGTAAAAGACGCAACGTTTAAATTAGACTCGGCCACAAGAGGTTCTTTTAGTCCATGGTGGACTGAAGAGTGCACGAGGAGCTATAGAAAACGGAAAGCTGCATGGAAACAACTGCTGGTCAACCAATGTCCAAAAAATTGGTGTGATTATAAATTCGCAGCAGCAGACTTCAAACGCACAGTAAGTACAGCAAAAGATGGTTATAATATGAAACAACATGAGTATCTTTCTAGGGCTTAAAAACAAAAAAGCGCTCTTCAGATTTTTAAGATCTCAAAAGATGTTACCACCCGCTGAAAATATTGACTCTTCTGTTCTTTCCCCCCGTGAGCTCTCTGATTTAGTAGAAAATATTGCGAAAGGGCTCCAAGATAGATTTATGTCAACTCTACCACTGCACATTGTGAACCCAATGGCAGGCGAGGATTTCGAGGAGGTTACTTTAGATGAGCTGGCCGAGATAATAAGGCACTTATCTCCTTCGGCACCTGGACCAGACGGGGTAACAAATTCAATGATAAAAGTAATATTCGAGATTTGTCCAACTGAAGTACTTAATCTGGTGAATTTTTCTTTGACAAAAGCTTGGATACCTGCGGAATGGAAGCTGTCTAAAGTGATTCCACTTCTTAAAAAGCAGGAAAAAGGATTCGCCTTGGACAATGTAAGGCCGATATCAATCACGTCAAATCTGGTTAAGCTAATTGAAAGAGTTTTGAATGCCCGGGTAATGAAATATATTAATGATAACGCAATATTAAACCCCAGTCAAATTGGTTTTAGATCCGGTTGCTCAATATGGTGTGCGCATGTTGATTTAGAGAGCCGAATACAACTGGCTCGGCGTCGGCGCCAATACTGTGCTTTAGTTACTTTAGATTTGGCTAAAGCGTACGATAGGGTTGAGCATTCAATTTTATTAAAACAGATGGCATATCACCACTTTCCCAACTACATCACTGCGTGGGTGTCGGAGTTTTTAAGAGGGAGAGAATATTACTGCTTTAAAGATGGTTACTCATCAAATAGATATAAGCAGACACGTGGCGTACCACAGGGGGCTGTCCTGTCGCCAGTTTTATTTAACATTTTCTTAAGCTCCATTCCATCAACTAAGGATATTCAGTTATATGTGTACGCGGACGATATTGCTTTCTTCGCAAGTAATACCGACCTTCAATCATTATACGAGAGTCTACAAGATTATCTTAATATGATAGAAAGATGGCTTAAAAATATTCATATGACCCTGAACGTAAAGAAAAGTGTGCTCCTTGCATTCTCTTTTCTGCAGCCTATCAATATCTCGTTAATGTACAGTAATGAGCTCATTCCGCAGGCGAATTCCCTTAAATATTTGGGCATCATATATAATGACGCATTAAATTGGAGAAGTCACATTGATGATGTGTACTCCAAGGCAACACGGGCCATGGGGTGGCTACGGAAGCTTGCAAACCGTAAAGCGGGTTTAAGAAGAGATGTGCTAATAATGATATATAAAATTTATGTGCGGCCCATCATGGAATTCGGATGTGTACTATTTTCTGGCAGCGCAGCCTATAAAATGAGACCCCTGATACTGCTGGAAAGAGAAGCGTTGCGTTTGTGTCTGGGTCTACCAAAGTTTGTTGCAAATAACGTGTTGTATATGGAAGCTCGCCTACCTTCTCTGCTAAATAGGTTTAAAATTCTTACTGTGCAAGCATTCTTAAAGATATACAGTTCACACCAAAGACTCTCATTTTACGCTTTCATTCAAGAACCGACTTTATTTTTCTAAACCCATTGGTCGCGACTACACACCCCGCAAATAGTATTTGCACAAGCGCTACTAAAGCAACTGAATGTAAAAATTAGACATATTGGTCCAATACACAACCTAAAGTCAATGCTTAGCATACAATTCGATGATATATTTTCTCATAACGCGAAACAATTGGCATATAGGTTTTTAAAAGACCAGTTAGCAGATTATCTAGCCCACCTAGAGATAAGCAATATCATAGCGACTGATGCATCTGTGTCAAAAGAAAAGGCTGGGGTTGGCATCTTCTCTCCTTCTTTGGACTGGTCTTTTTCGATTCGACTCCCAGATTATACCCCGGTATTCATGGCAGAATTATTGGCCATTGTTCTTGCCCTACGCAAATTACCCTCAAGCGAATCATTAGCAGTTATCATTACAGATTCGTTATCACTTTGTAATGCACTTTCTACGGCAGTAAATTCAGAGCTGATGAATACGTTTCGGCATTTAGTACCGAAAAACGTAAAAAAACTGCATTTGCTATGGGTACCAGGCCACCGCGGATTATATTTGAACGAAATGGCGGACTCTTTAGCAGCAGTATCCCTGGGTGGGCCCACCATCCCAGTTTTGCCAGATACGGCTTACGTAACCGCGCTAAGGTTCCGAAATGCTTGCCTGCAATGGGGAAAAGGTAATTTGGATAAATTTAAAGATTTCGAGCATTTGAGCTATTGCTGGAATAAACAGTGGTGTGTATCTCGCCAGTTAGAGGTCACTTATACCAGATTGCGCTGTGCAGTTCCACAACTAAATTATTACCTTAATAAAGCTCAGCTCAAGGCGTCACCGCTATGCATTTGGTGCAACGAAATTGAAACAATTGAACATTTCTTCTTATTTTGTCATCGTTATTCTTATCAGAGAAAAAGATTTTTAGTAGCCCCATTACAAAAGCTCGGAATACAAGTAAATTTACCAGTAATTTTATCACTTGGCGGAACTTCATTTGGTCACTGCCACAGGGATGTATGCTCCGCTGTGTTTGATTACATCAACGCAACTAAAACATTACCATGCTAGTGAACGACCACCTTTTCAGATCTTTAGTTTATGATTCGTAGTTATGTCTTTCAAAAACAAAAGATGGTTTGACCACTTGCTCAGCACACATTTTTGTTTTTTGGTAGTAGTATTTTAAGCTACTTTTTCAGATTGGCTTCATTTTCAGTTTAGTTTCATTTAAGTATCCTGCCGCCCGGTTCTTGGCCCATCCCCCTTTGTGGGTAAGCGCCATCCATCAAAGGTCATCAGCATCAGCATCAGCACGAGCGCTGCGTTCGGATCTAACATTGTGCAACGCCTCCAGCTATGAACCATTGTCCAACTGTGAGCGAGTAAATAGTTGTAAGCCATTGTTTCCCGCTGTGCTGTTTCGTCTCTTGGGTACTTTTTTTTCTGGTAAACGACCTTTTATTACACCGCACAAAATACCCACATCAGCAACAATTACCTCATTGTGCTACCAAAACTAGAGTGCAAAAGCGTTATCCTTTTGCTCTGCTGTTCTCAGGACGACAATGGTGACAAAAACTGCGTTGCCAGTTGTTACATGCCCCCATCTGTTTACGGGTACAACACTTCGTTACCAGCTCTTCTGCCTGATACCGCCCCTTGCAAAGAAAAGGGAGAGGTAAGTATACACACCTCCTTATCTATTGAAACGAAGGCTCTAGATGCCTCGTGAAATGCGTAATTTTAGAATCTGAATTGGTACCCCGTTGAATCTGAATCGGTACCCCGTCAGTTTTTAGGTGTATTTAATTATCAAATAGCATATGTTAATTAAAGTGAAATATCAAACGTGTAATTTCAACTCAACAATTGTCCATGTGAATAAAGAGGTTCTAAAGGAGCGACGTGAGCAGCGTGCAAAACAAAGGACAAATAACCGGCAAAAACGCGCTGTGCCTTGTCCTTGAGTGTTACAAGCGCTGTTCACGTAGTCATAAAATATCAACCATCCCGATCCCACAGCTCACTAAACAAACATATGTTAGAAATATATTCCCAAAAAATCTGTTCTTCAAAATTATGTGAATATATTCTCGGATATACGAATCAAAGCAACTTGCACATTTTTTAAAAGGTATTTAGGGTGTTGTTTGAGAAGAGCAAAATACTAATTCTTTAACTAAGGTTCGTAGATATTCAAAGTAGTGTGTTTTCTATAGCAAAAGTTCACCTTAACTGTTGGCGAGAACTTTGTCAATTAGACAACACTGGGCGTACAAGATATTCTGAGTGTAGGCATTTACTTTCTAAAGAGATTTGGATTGTAGACACCGAGACTAACGAGTAAGTGCAGTGACGGAAGCAGAATGCACTTTTGAACCCTCTAAAAATATAAGTGCTAACAAGATCTGCTAATTTAGAGTCGATTGGAAACAGCAGATCGAAGTAAACAACGGTGCATGGGTTAGTATCTTGGTATCGTAACTGCACTCTCTATAGATATCACTAGCCTATGTGTCAGTGCGTCTAAATGGATCGAAACTGCAATGTCGGAATTAGCAATACAGTTTCGAACCAAGAAAATTATTTTATTTTTTCATAAAAATCACATACCTCGAGGAGTTGATTAGGAGTAAAATGTTTGAAGGTTATGGAAATGTGATTGTAAGTCAATATACACATCGTAAACTTTAAAAGAGTATTCGTCTGAACTTCTTGGTATAGGTTTATGACAACCGTACAGTGCAAGTTATGATGACATAAAATTTACAGCTTCATGCGTACTTTAGTGCAGCCGCAAAGATATTGTTGAAGTGTGCATGTTGAAAAAGCAATGCATTTCAGATATAAATCAAATATCTGGTCTAAAATTGCCACATACTCATGTAGAGTTTCTACATTAGCTCATATATAGTAATTCAAGATGCAGTATACCTGGTTTTATAGCTGAGTTTGTTGTTTGACCTCAGCAATATTAACATGTGTCTCTCGCAAATGTTTCAGCAATTATGCATAAATGGAGACTGCGTGCCAAAAAGACTGAAGCGTCGGGTATACAGCCCGTACTAATATTGTCACCAATAATATACAATAAAGAAACTACTTGCAAAAAAGCACGACAACTCATGACCTATATTTCTAAGTTTTATTTTGGTAACTTGCTATGCTAATAAAAGCTACAATATTGCAATAGTTTGGTGCTTCTTTACATGTATCACATAAATAAAATATTTACTTGGTAACCATTCGTCCTTCAAACTTTCCAGAATTGCGAACAATCTATTTGATACTATCTTTTTCAAAATATTGTAAATTGCTGTTCAAGTCGTGAATTTAACAATATTTAAAGCGAGAACAATAAAATTTCTGGAAAAGATGAAATAATCCAAGTTGAGAAGTTTCAAAAGGAGTCGATATAGCAAAATAGGAGGAAAGGGTAGTATAGGTGTCCGGATGTTCAAGGCACTGTTTCAGCACGATAAACTTCCCCATTTAAGTGGCGTATAACTATACTAATAATAGTTGGAGTACTTCCTATTTACGTGTATTTTGAAAAATTTGGGGAACCTATAAGCTTCTTCCTAAAGATTTGAACGCGATAGCAACATTATGTCCTTAGTGATATACTTCAAACACTTAGCCCATAAAGTACTTTTCAACTTGCTATGCACCCAAAAGGTGACGTCAAAGGAATAGACACAGTAACGTGTGTGCCTTTTGGTAATGGCTGACGAGCTTGAAACTACGTATTCGCTACTATAATCACATGTTTCTGACACCCGATGGCAATGAACGCTTGTACCGCACATTAATACTGCAATAGTTTAAGCTGCATCGCGAAGCATCTATACAGGACGGCTGTATTTGTAAAGCATGAACGTTATTTCCTCTGTATATTCAAACAGAGAAAGTTATATTCTCTGTTTTCACAAGCAGACGCGTCGCTGTGGGGAGCACATCACACCTTGAAATGACGGCCTTAGTAATTGTTTTGTCATCTTTGTTGTGTACGGTAATATATTGATCTTGTCCCCTGTGTGTGAAGTTCAACCAAAAGTTAAAAAGAAAATGTGTGGCTGTGTGGCAGAAGATTTCTTTGCCACGCATATTACCCGGGTGCGAGTTTGTCTCAAACTCAGAATTTTAGGGGCGAAGCTCTTTCAGGCGTGGGTCTTTCCATCTTTTGTATCGGTGTATGTTGTAGTGCGTAGCCACCGGTGGCGCATACCCGCTCTATAGCGGGTATGTGCCACAGGGGATGCGAGATGGGCGATGGCATTACTTGGAGTGTTCGCTAAATGGAAGCATGGACGGACGGGCAGACAGACTAGCAAACGGACGGGTGGTTGGATAGACCCACGGACTTACGGGCGGATGGACGCACGAAGAGACACACAGACAGAAATATGAATGGACCGACTCATGTACGGACGCACGGACAGACAGATGGATGCACAGATGGACGTACGGATGTTTACACGAGCGGATGGAAGCAAAAACGAACGAATGGACGAAAGCAAGGAGGGCTGACGGACGCTTCGCCCCACTTATCATCATTCACTTCGTGGATATGCTGTGATTTTTTTAGTACTTTTATTTTCATGTTTTCAATGTTTATTTCACGCACACGATAATTTTTCGCCCACAACCAACAATGCCAATGACACCGAAAATAGCCTCCAAATATCTGCCAAACGAGCTCTTCAACGCTATGAAGGTAACGAAGGAAATGAATACGCAATCACAATTTAGTGCTATTATTGGCAAATTCACTGTCAAATTGTCACGCTCGGGGAGCATGAAACAAGCTTCTGGGCGGTGTAAAATTCGTTTTGAGCACCATTTACACAAAATGCAGGCGGCTTTCTCAACCCTAGCGTCACGCCGGTCGTGGAAACCCAATTTGCTTTATTTTAACGCGGTAGCCTTAGAAAGCTCGTGTAGTATAAATTCCACCATCGGCGTCGGCACCGTTAGATGTGAGGGAAAAATTGAGAAAAAAGCAAATAATGTAAAGAATAAATTTGTCGGCCCCATTCAGGATCGAACCCGGGCCGTTCGAATGGCAAGGAGGTGTTTTTCCACAAAGCCACGATGTTACTCACAACTTCTCTCGGAAAAACATCACATAAATTTCATGTAGTGGAAGGAGTCTCCTTAACGCATTTTGTTCGACAGGTGTCACGACGAAAGCGAGCTCATTCGGCGATATGTAGGCGCATTTGTGAGGCCATCAAAGTACGTCGAAAAAGCCCGGGTTAGAGCAGCCTTGCCTTGCCGCTAAAAACACACAGGAACTTTCAAACAACTCTAAAAATGGACAACTATGTCCATCTAGCGAAAAACGTATCGTGCCTTTCCAGAAGCGTTGATCAAGCAAACAGCAAACGCTTCATAATGCGCTACCATCTCTTAGGTATTGTGACACTTTTGATGGCATCTTACATTAGATCAAAAACCTCTATGCACCATTAGCGCGCGCAGGTACTATCTATCTACTATGTGTGTGTGTGTGGGGGGGGGATAGGTATCGAAACATATTAATAACTATGGATTTAAAGGTTGAAGGGTGCACAAGGGGCGGAATTCGCTATCGCGTTCAACTCTTAAAACTGAAGCTTAAGGGTCTCCCAGTTTTTTCCCCGTCATCCGCTATTCGATGTTTGAGAACAGGAAACGCACACTAAGCACAAGACTGCGCCACGTATCGCACCAAGCCTCGTCACGCGGATATCTGCCCTATTACAATCGCCAAGGCAGCCATACGACGTCGCTGTTCTAATTGGCTACGGTGACCTGGGCTTCCTTTAATTATTGTTTTTAACGCGAGGGCCTTCAAAAGGTGGCACTCCCTTCAGTATACACTTTTGGCGGGAAAGTGGCGTTAGAGCAGTTGGAACGATCGACTTAGCAGGTGCAGCCACGGCCACGTCTTTGTATCGCGCGCGAACAACCAGCCTTGCACTGCGGGTTGTGACGTTGCGTGCACAGGGGTATGCATGGCCTTACAAACATGCAGGCCTCCTCCACACGGGTGACAACGCTGGAACGTGTGCTTGCTTAGCAGAAGATCCATCCTCCCTCAGGGCACTTTCGTCACATCTATTATATAAGACGAAGCGCATTTTGACTGAGTAAACGCAACAGGAGCTGCTATGCACGCTTAGCGGCTGTTTTGAGGTATGCAATTATATGAATATTTGATAATGTCCACAGCTGCGTGAAAAAACTGTAGATGGCCAACAAATTGAAGTCGCCACAAAGAGTACGTTGTTCATGCAACCATGTGTTATCAGTCGAAACGCGCTTCGTCTTAAAGAATAGATATGACAAACGTGCAGAGCAGGCCTGCATGCTTGTAAGGCTGCACATGCTCCTGCGCGCGCGGCGTCACAACCCGCAACAACCGCAGGGTGTCGCACAGGAAGCAAAGCCGGCTGCTCGCGCGCTATACACAGACGTGACCGCGGCTGTACTTTGTGTGTCATCCCTAACAAGTATGCCCTTCGAACGCGTACTGTGTGGAAGGGGGACATGGCTCGCTTTTCGTTGTTGGAAGCTGGTGAATGACGAACAACTTCGTGAATAACTTGACACTGATTTGCGTGGTGTGAAGCACGTTAGATGCAAAAACACCGAATGTGACGCCCGGAATTTTCGCGTGACACGATGCCTAACAACTCCGTGCGAAGGCCACTCACCTGCCATTCACGGCCGTTTCGAATACCTGAGTAAGCAAATTAATTCTAAATGTTTTCGCTGGTTATATACATATTGCATGTATTTTCCGAATAGTGACGTAATTGTTTAGATCATCCCATTGATTTTCAAGCTTCACGTTAGTGTTACGCTAAGCTATGCCGTACCCATGGGTTGAAACGCGATAGCTTTTAGAGCTAGACGTAAGTAATCGGGCTGCTTTCGATTCAAATATCTGAATTCCTCGTCATAGCTGTGTATTTTACTCGAACGCTTACATCGATGCCAACATTACTTTTAGATGCCGGATCCTTATAGAGAGATGGCAGGGTCATCTTAAAATTAATTGCTGATGGAAGTCTTTCGATAGCAAAGAAAGCGATGTCGCTTATAAGTCCGAGAGCACAGAAGCTTCTGTTTCACATGGATCGTGCGATTGACGCGGAAATATGACAAAAAATAAGGAAGTTGTGTTGCTCTCATTGCCGTGACTGTGAGCCCTATCTGGCAGTGTATGGGTAACGCTGGGCAAAATATAGGTAACGATGAAAAGAGAGCCCGAGATACGTACTGAACACGAACAAACCGCGTCACAATGTTCAAGTGTTGTGCCCAGTTTCACTGAAGGCTGTCTTATTTGAGTTAAATAAACTTCTTGCAAATTGAAATCTTTTTTACGTGATATTCGGACTGGTTAGTCAGCGCAAAATTATCGAGTGACATTGAGGTTTTACGATGATGCCTAGTAAAATTATATAACGTGTCAGCGAAATGAAAATAATTGTTGCTGATATAATGATAAAGTTTACCGCAGTCTGAATCATACAATGGGACTTCATGTTGCAGGCAACATATTAGTATTAATGCGCTCTCATGTACTTACTCCTGCACTGTTATCAGATAATCAGATAACCTTTGGCTGATATGTTAACAAGGTCACATTGTTTTCTTACGGTTGTTTGTTGTTCCTAATGGCCTTGCTCAATAATGGCTTTTTTCAAATTCATAAAAATATACCGTTTCATACACTTACTCTAAGCTGTTATTTTCGGACAATAGAAGTTAATGAGCAAAATATTTCACACAGTAACTGCAACTTACTAATCAATTCGACTCGGACACCAAGAAATGTTTTTTTTTTTTCATGCTTGGTAATGTTTCAACTGTCTCAACTAGGTAGTTTAGTGGCGGTTGTGTTGGGTCGGTAAAATTTAGGGCACAAAAAATATGCAAGGCCACTGCGACCTTATTTATGTTTAGTCCAAGTGACCGCCATGGGGGAACAGTGGCTAGGAGGCTCGGCTGCTTACTATAAGGTCACGGGTTCTATTCCGGCCGCAGCAGTCACATTTCGTTGGAGGTGGAAATGGTAGAGGGTGGTGTGCTGCGCGATATTATTGAACGTTAAATAAAACGAGATGTTCAACATTTCCG